AGAGGAGGAGGAGTGGGGAGAGGGCAAAGAGAGGGGGAACATGGTGCTGCTATGCGCTGGAGAGAAGGGGTATAAGGAGGTATAACACATTCAATAGTGAGGTGGTATTCCGTGGTTCCTCCTTACCCTTTGATGCGCGCGATAGCGGGCGAGCAAACCTGGTTCGCAATATTCTTAGCGAGTGAAAGCTTTTGCTCGATACGCACATGTATGCAACACTGCAGGGATGCAGCTGCTAGAAAGTCTACGGTAGTTAGGAGCGAATAGTAGCTATCTCTATAGAAAGGAAAATGGCACGGAAAGAAGAAAAAAATAAACGCACCGTACCGCTTTGGGGGAAGATGACACTTTGCATGGCGTGGCCTTACTGACCACCCCGGTCATGCGGGATTTATCGTAGCCGTGGCACTGAGAATAGTCTTCTATATTTCACCATTCGTCGCTCCGGATCTCCCCGGCTCTCTAGGAGTCGGGATTCCAGCCTTTCTCCTTCTTTCTTCAGAGTTAGGCCGATTTCATAGTTTCGAATCGAGGATTCGCTAGCGATGCGTTTGATTCGCAAAGCATGACGTCAGACTGATTGTCGTTTTTTGCTTGTCGCTTGGTAAAACTGAGGCGAACCAGGATGCTTATCACTAGTTGGCAGCTCTTTTGAATCGAGGATTCCTAGCCGCCAAGAATGCGTCTGCAACTCGACAAGACAATGATAAGAACTAACGTATTTGGCTCCCATCCAAATTTTGCGAAATCCTCAGGATACTCGAAGTCACATCTCGCAACTGACTTTGAGTTGTTGCGCCAGACATTGAGAATATACATGATGTTTTGGGTTTACCAGTAGTGAAATAAAGCGGATAGAACTGCCAAAATCCTCAAAATCACATCGCGGTGATTGTATGGGTGGAGACAGCCCGGCTGCTTGCGCCTAACTTATAGGTCAACCGCATTTGCTCACTGTATGGTACCGTATCAAAAAAACCGAAGAGAAAGGGATCAGGTCACAGTGGGGTTCGTGGCACCAACACCCCAGGCGCAAAGCGATTTTGAGGTTTTTGCAGTTTTGCTTGTTCATCTTCACTCCCAGTTCAGAATATCACATTTACTTATACTAGAGAGGCAGAAAGCTCACACCTGTAATCATGGAATGTGCCTTCATTTCGTGAAAAATGGGATAAAATATCTTGCTCCGCCCGCTATCGCGCGCATCACAGGGTAGGGAGGAACCACGGAATAGCAGCATGACGTACTCCATTAACCACCTCACTATTGAATGTGTTATACCTCCTTATACCCCTTCTCTCCGGCGCATGGCAGCACCATGTTCTCTCCCTTTCTCCTCTCCCCTCCCCTCCCTTCCAGCCTCCCCTTTCTTGCCCCTTCCCTCTACCCCTCTCCCCCCCCCCCTCATCCGGCTGCCACGGCAGCACCATGTAGAATGAGACTGAGTGTGCTCGATCGGTGTTTATATAGCCGCTGTGGGTGTTATCATGATCATGACATCAACATCACGAAGTGTTGCCCTTCGTACTCCCTGGTTTTGTGAGCGGTTGGTCCGGACGGACAGAACGACACACACACACCCACAAACCGACACACCAAAGTTCTGGTTTATATAATGAAGTGATATCCCCACATTTCTTCAGAAGGTCCGACTCATTTATTGACAAACTGCACTCAGGAAGCCGCTTGCCACTCACCTTCTCCCACATACCAGTGTACAAATGCTCGTTTGGAGTACATCAGATTTAGTTTGTGGTCTAGACGTGCCCAAGCTTCGGCGACTGGGAAAGTGTTCTTGGAAGCAGAGTTATAACAAGGCATCTCACAGCATTCTAGAACATGCCCCTGATATTATGGTTGACTAAAAAAGTTATTCGTCACGCTGTGCAATCAGGGCTGATTTATATTTCACGGATCTCCTCAGTGCTGTTACAGTGGACGTTCAAAAGATGATTATAAGTATATTCAAGATTAGTGTTCAAATTTATTGTAAGAGTAAAATTCATTACTAGAATATCAGCATACAATTTGAAGAATAACAGATGGAATTCAAGAAGCAGCGTACAGTAAAAAAAAGACTCTGTGCTAGGATTTGAAGACACATTTCACTCATAAGACATCGTTTAAAGGCAGCTGTCGTGACCGCCGTCGCGATGTACGACGTGGTGAAGGCGGGCTGAGAGGAAAGCGCGAGATAAAAGTTGTGACAACGAGTTGTGTAAAGAGGCTTCTGCCTCTTGTTCTTTTGATTTCTCTCTCTTATCTTCGTTTATGTGTCTTGCTCGAGTATAGGATCGGTTATGCCGAAGGTCATGAGCATGATTCTTCTGATCGTATGTCTAATGGGTTATTTGATCAAATAAAATTGTGTTCGGATTCTTTGTCTGTCTGATGACGGCTTGGACCACCGTACACGTTATACTAAAGTACGAACTGCAGCGATCAAGATAAGTTCTAGAGGGTTTTGAGGGGACACAGTAGCACCCAATAATTCACCAGTGGCAGTAATGCAGAGAAATCTGTCAGCAAAACGCAACGAGACCCCTCAGTTCGGCCGTCGATTTTCGCTTTGGGACGGGCAGCGGTCAAGACGACGGAGCCGTACGGAAGAGTTAACAGCAGTGCGATTGGTAGGACCATGCCGAACCATACTCCAGTCGAATTGCGCCAGTTGTGCAGCTGCTAGGAACACAGCTCGTTCGGATCACCAACTATACTATAGCGGGCAGAACGCTTAGGGGGTGTGACAATTTAGATACTGTTTGGCAACGAGCACACCTTTCATGTAGAAGCGCTCCCTTGGCTGCCAAGGTAGGTTACGTGTATAGGTATGGTATGAATCTCCCCGATACGCCCCATCTTTGTTGTGATCGCTTCCTTTTAAACCCAAAGAACGCCTCCAAGCAATTTTCTAAGATTTTCGAAAACTCTGAATATTCGGCTATAGAAAAAAGATCGACTGACAAGAAAACATGCGTTGAAAAAATAGGTAGCCTACCTTATCATGCACGCTGAACGGTTCTGTTGTCCCAAACCGACAGGCACAGCCGTAGGTGGTTGGTGATTCCTACTTTGAATCTGGTAAGACTCCTGTAAACAACAAGTCAGTCGGTTTGTTTTTGCTCTGCTAGAGGGAAAATTATCGCCTCAGTAAAAAAGAAGAACAGAAGGAGCAAGCAGGAAATCAAGCGAAGGGACTGCTGCGCAGATGAAGTTATACAGGAGAGTCACGTAATCAACTTCTCTACAGATGTGTAAAAAGCTCCGATGTGGATTAACTTCCATTCTGTCATAACACGACGTCAGTAATCACTTCAGTGCTTCCACACGATCACAGCTGCAGGTGAGTGATGTTGAGAAAAAATGGGGAGAGTTATTAGCTTGCTTCATTCTCAAAGGCTATAAAGCACCTCTACGTATTTCAGTGTTGATTGCTGCATCTCGAGAATTAGCGACTGGTGAGACTGGACAAATGTCATGCTTTGGAAAAGGCTCCAAAAAGCATAATAGTAAAGGAGAAGCTCCAGATGGCCCTGTTGCTGGGTACATATGTAAGGACAAGGTGTGCCAAAATTACTTGCTCATATTTTCCGCCTTTGTAAGAACTGCGAAACAATGAAGTGAGGGTTCGTTTTCCGACAGAAGAATGAGAATGAAATGCCATCATCGAATCCGGCTTAATATTTCAAAACGTCTCTCTTGGACCATTAGCCCTTGGTTGTGGTGAGTTGTCGTTCACCATGGCGCGTCGGTGCTCCAAAGAAATTCGTTCCTAAACGTATAGCAGGTTTGTTATCTGGGCGGTGGCAGGTGGTGTTGTTACGAGCAGGCCTTGCTCTCTAAGAAGCTCCACACGAAACATTCCACTCCGTTCAGATAATAACTTTTGAATGGCCGGTATAGAGTGCTGGTGAGACCAAGGTTGGTGTTCGCGTGTGCTCCGATGTCAACTTCTATGTACCAGCTAGTGTTGCACCCTGCTCAGACACGAACAGATCAGATCCGTGGTTGGATTCCGTACAGGAAAGTGAGACGTTAGTCAGCGCACCTCATCACCCTCTGCTTATGTTTAGTATGCTCTTCCATGAAACATGGGACGGACATGGCTCCCTAATCAATCGCAGCCCAAACCATGATTTTGTTGCTCTTCCGCAATCTTCACGAACTCTCCATCTATAGTCAGCTTTCACGGATCTTAGGCAAGGTGGTCAATCATTATGGCAAGCGAAAATTAAGTTCACTCTGGACGACATTACACCGAAGAAGCCAATCTCACAGCGTAATCACTCGGAAAACATCTCGGAATTCTCGCAGTTTATTATCTTTATGGATGGAGAACGGGTGAGGCACTTTGGCAACCATAATTCAGAGCAATAGCTTTTACTCTCCTATATAACACATTGAGGGGTAGCATTTTTTCAGCTTTTCGACTGTGTTTGTTAACGACAACGTTGGACGAGGCCGCACTATAAATTGTCGAAGTTTCGTCTCGATCAGCACGGTTCCATTTCCTCGAGGAACTTCAAGTTCACAAAAAACCTAATGCGGGCTCTAAACCACCGTTGGCTGTCATAGCAAGGCTATACGATCAGAGCCTCCATATGGGTGTGGAGCTGAAAAGGTTCGGGCTCAGCTTCACTGACGTAATTGCCCTTGTGGATGCAACGGACTCTCCCCTTTGTGGCCCACCACCAAAGAGGTTGCGCCACCTTTGCACATCGAAACACGTCACAAAGAGGACAGATGCTAACAAGGAAGGTCTTTCAGGACATGGAGCGCTTTTTCGAAATGGTTTCCTGCATGTTGTAGGGGCTCATGTGGAACACAGAACCATGGTCCATTTTTCCTGAACGCCTCCAGGAATGTCAAAACAGCGGGAAGAAATGGTCCAAAGTTCGATCCTCCGTGATGACAAATTTTTGCAATTGCTGGCGCCTACAAAACACGACAATGACATCTATTCTCGACGATGGCGCCATTTGGCGGCAATCTGGGGGCGCCAAACTATATTGCAAAAATTAGTCATCACCGGGGATCGAACTCTGGACCATTTCTTCACTATTCTGACAACGCTGGAGGTGTTCAGGAAAAATAGATCATGGTTCTGTGTTTCTTCTGTGCTAGTTCTTCCTAAAAAAAGCTTATCGTGAAAAGGAATAACGGTGGATAGGAAGCGAGAGGAAAGATAAAGTGAACTAGCGCACAAACTCAATTTGCTTCCGGGTGTCTGTTTCAATTGAAGCAAAAAAATTTTTTCAAGGATTTTGTAAAATTAGAATGAAATTTTTGCCAGAAATACCACAACAGTTGATCGACCAAGAGTTCTTGAATGGTGAAGGTTTCGTGGCAGAAAACGTCTTCAGCTGACCCGTGAATATGGATTCCATGGTGTCCACATACTTTTGATTAACACTGTAGTAACCGTAAGAATACTGATTGACCGTGCTATATGTATAGCGGAGTGTAACTTTTCGTCGAGACGACTTTGAGAGACCAAATACAAATAGTGTTCTGACAGCGTTAGCCGACGGTTTCCTTCAATATTTTTCTCACGAAGATGGGCATGCAAAAGAAATTGATTTTGTAAAATAGTCGCGAAGCTGTTGTACACACGAGTGCGGAAGAAATGATTTTATTAAGATGTTTATATTGTTTTCTTCTCCAGCGATAACGTGGTGGTGGAGAACCTCATTCTATTACGACGAGTTGTTGAAGCTGAACGGAAATAAGCCTAATCTTTTAGTGGAGATAGTGGTAGTTTAGCCTGTCGGTATCGCCATCAGTGGCGCGATAAAATTGTGTAGAACTCACTCTGTGTTTCATTTCTTCCCGCGTGTTCCATAGGTGATGCCATTCCATTGTGCATAGCCGCCCACAATGCTCATCACAAAAAGGCATGCGAGCAACAACCAACGCATTTTTCTAAATCTGTATTCTATAATGTAATGTAAATTCGTAATTCTTAAATATAATGTAATGTAATATTCTATAATGTAATCTGAATTCTGATTGAGAGCAAACTTGTAAAAAACTTTTTTCAATGAACAAAAATGTTGACTTTGAGCTGAGATATATTCTTTGAAGACGGAGGTCAAAAACCCTCATTAATTTCTGGACAACCTAAAATGTTCTACTGTATAAGTATATGATCAACGATTATTGCATTTGCGAGCGATGAGGGGATCGCGTCGAGCCAGCCTTAAATAATCCAGTTGTGATCCAAGTATAATAGAGAATGTCTGAATGGTGAAGTATGCACTGGCTGCAGTCCATTCTCAGAAGGAGCCCAAGATGCTTTAGGGTTGGATTTCCTCCCATGCAGCGCCGAGCCGGAGCACCAAGTTCGCATCCAGATCAGAAAGTGTCTCTACTCTCAATCCAGGGCAGTGGTCTCGCAGCTGAGTTATGCGCGAGGTGCTGACCTGACGGCTCTTAGCAAAACTTTCTCATCGATTCTGATGAGCCTACACAGAAGCCCACGGATCAACCTAACGAGTAATTCAGAATACAGGGAGAACAAGACAAAGGCGAGGACGTTTGGTCGCACTATATTCTGGCTTATTTGCTGAATTGTCCGTCTTTTGGGAGTTTTGCGCTGAGCAAAAATGATGCCCATGAATTCTCAACCTTTCGCAGTATAGTGACAAAGGACTTTTTGCAGCTATCTCGCGTGATGTGCGCTGTTTATAGGATGGCACTTGCGCAACTGCTTCATGTTTAGAATCTATGCAATGCTGCATTACTACCTATCTACTTCAAGAGCGCGACGAACAGTTTTTCTTTTTATCCTCAAACAACAGTATCCACCCAGTGAGCAGCTGGACTAGCGTAAGCCTCAAGTGCGGTATAGGGCGATGAAACTGAAAACGAATGGTTCATTGTAGTACAAAACACATTTCCATGCCCAGCTTATATACGTATTCAAGAACCAATGTTCTCTCTATGCGCAGTGCTATTTTACTGTGTGCCATTATCAGGCTTTCATGTGAATGTCCGCATATAATTATCACACCGCAAAAAGACCGCATGTAATTATGGCACCTAGAAATATTCCCTAGATTGACTTTCGAATACGAAATTAGCAGTGACGATTGTATGAGGCACACATTGCAATAAGAAATAGCGATAGCAACCTTATATCAGAGTGCGAAATGAGCAGTGGTACAGGCGTACGATTGGAGCGCTTCTGTCAAGCTTCCGTCTTTCCTTGTATCGCGGTGAGAATAAACGCTTCTAATCGTACGCCTGTACCACTGCTGATTTCGTACTCTGATATAAGGTTGCTATCGCTAATTTCTTATTGCAATGTGTGCCTCATACAATCGTCTGCTAATTTCGTATTCGAAAGTCAATCTAGGGAATATTTCTAGGTGCCATAATTACATGCGGTCTTTTTGCGGTGTGATAATTATATGCGGACATTCACATGAAAGCCTGATAATGGCACACAGTAAAATAGCACTGCGCATAGAGAGAACATTGGTTCTTGAATACGTATATAAGCTGGGCATGGAAATGTGTTTTGTACTACAATAAACCATTCGTTTTCAGTTTCATCGCCCTATACCGCACTTGAGGCTTAGTAGTCTAGCTGCTCACTGGGTGGATACTGTTGTTTGAGCGTAACAAGAAAAAGTGTTTGTCGCGTTCTTGAAGTAGATAGGTAGCAATGCAGCATTGCATAGATCCTAAACATGCAGCAGTTGCGCAAGTGCCATCCTATAAACAGCGCACATCACGTGCAAAAGCCTTTGTCACTATGCTGACCAAAAAAACAGTATGAAGAGTGCGCAAAGCTGTTTTGTGTAACATGACTGCCACAGAATCTGCTAGCGATTATAGGTAGCTAAAAGCGGTACCGATGGCAAAAAAGGTTGAAAATTCATGGCCACCTTTTTTGCTCAGTGATAACTCCCACAAGACGGACAATTCAGTCAAATAAGCCAAAATAGAGTGCGAGTAAACGTCTTCGCCTCTATCGACACGATCCCCTCATCGCTCGCAAATGCAGTAATCGTGATCATATACATTACACCGTAGAACATATTAGGTTGTCCAGAAATTAATGGGGGTTTCTGACCTCCGTCTTCAAAGAATATATCTCAGCTCAAAGTCCAACATTTTTGTTCAAAGAAAAAAGTTTTTTACAAGTTTGCTCTCAATCAGAATTCAGAACACATTATAGAACTTACATTACATTTAAGAATTACGAATTCACATTACATTATAGAATAGATTTAGAAAAATGCGTTGGTTGTTGCTCGCATGCCTTTTTGTGATGAGCATTGTGAACAGCTATGCACAATGGAATGGCATCACCTATGGAACACGCGGGAAGAAATGAAACACAGAGTGAGTTCTACACAATTTTATCGCGCCACTGATGGCGATACCGACAGGCTAAACTACCACTATCTCCACTAAAAGATTAGGCTTATTTCCGTTCAGCTTCAACAACTCGTCGTAATAGAATGAGGTTCTCCACCACCACGTTATCGCTGGAGAAGAAAACAATATAAACATCTTAATAAAATCATTTCTTCCGCACTCGTGTGTACAACAGCTTCGCGACTATTTTACAAAATCAATTTCTTTTACATGCCCATCTTCGTAAGAAGAATATTGGAGGAAACCGATGGCTAACGCTGTCAGAACACTATTTGTATTTGGTCTTTCGAAGTCGTCTCGACGAAAGTTGTAACGCGACTACACTCCACTCTACATATAGCACGGTCATGCAGTATGCTCACGGTTACCACAGTGCTAATCAAAAGTACGTGGACACTGTGGAATCAATATTCGCGGTTCAGCTGAAGACGTTTTCTGCCATGAAAAGAGCTTCACCATTCAAAACCTCTTGGTCGATCTGTTGTGGTATTTCTGGTGAAAAAGTTGGTAGCCATTGAAATTTGTTGTTACACTGGATGTGCGATCTTGAATCATAAATTCACTGAAATTGACGACAAAACAGCAAAAACAGCAACCGTTTGCTTAACAGATTTAGGGATTCAAGGAAATTTTATGGTCTTGAAAGTGAAGTTTTTAAAACTAGTTTCGATTCAATACATCTGTCCCGAATTGAAAGAAGGAGGCTCAGGGAACAAACAGTACTGCCAAGTAGTACAAGAGATAATGAAAAATAGTTGAAGGAGAGCTTTAAAGAAGGAATTCACGATTAGCACCGACAGAGTTGACTTCGGCGACCTAGTAAGGCTCAATCTTGGCGCGGTTGGCCAGTGCACGCCCACCGATCATCTGATCACTCGCCGCAGGTCTATACGTGGCGAGTGATTAGATAGGTGAGAGAGCGTAGTGTTGAGAGATGAGAGTCGCATCAATGCTCAAATCAACGGGCAAGGAAGGGGTCCCATTTCTCGTTCTCATGGTTCTTCCTTCTTTAGTGTACCACTCACCATCATCCCTAAGGTTATGTTGATATGAGTTGCCTTTCCAGCGTGAATTCGTCCTTCAAACCGATTTGCATATCCGACAAATGCCAGATGTGAGTTTCGACGTGCATGGCTGGCGATGCACGTGGGCCGTAATTTTTAAGGACGAACTGGAATTCCTGTATTTACAATTTTCAGTCTTACCCATTGAGAGATTCTGACTTTTCAATGTAGCAGAACATTAGAACCGTAAACCAGAGGCGTTGCCAGTTTCCATGCGTAATCCTAAAATCAAGTGCACATTTCAGGTCGCCTTTGCCGACAGCCGCTCGAGGTATGTATTTTTAACTCCGTAAGCGAGGCCAGAAAAGAAGAGGGATTGGGGCACGAAAGATTGTTTAGTTAGTCTCACTGTGAGCTTTCCTTGATGCTCTTTTCTGTTTGTGTAATTATCGTTAAAATAACATCTGCAGCATTTTCTCAGAGGGAATTGAGACCACCTTGGAATCCTTGGGCCTTAGGGTATGCAATTTTGTAAGGATGGTTGTTCTTCCTTTCAGCGAAGTTCCCTATTCTTTCTCACATTCGTTTTCACGATAACTGATTATTGTGTGTTATTCTCAATATTCTTGCGAAAGCTTCAATGAAAGCTTTTATTCGATACGCACATGAATGCAACACTGCAGAGATGCAGCTACTAGAAAGTCTACGGTAGTTAGGAGCGAATGACATGAAAATGACAGTGCAGCGTTGACTAATAAGCAGCCGTCATTCGGCTTCCACGAGATGCACCGTATCTATCTGAAGGAGTGTAGGTACGGTTATCGTCTTCTTCGTCCGTGTACTCATCGGCTCCGATTTCCTCGTAATCCTTCTCTAGCGCGGCCATATCTTCCCTGGCTTCCGAGAACTCGCCTTCTTCCATTCCTGAACAAAGAAGAAATGTATTGAGGTCTCGAACGTAACATATTCGGCTCAAATCCAGAATTGCAAAATCCTTGTATGATCCCTAAAGTCACAACTGACTGTGGGTTAATGCGTCTAAGAAAATAGCTATGATACATATTTTGGGTCGAACATTAGTGAAAGGCATCACACAAAACTCACCACATCCACATCACCAAAACCCTCGAAGTTATATTGCGGTGATTGTTTGGGTGGAAGCAGCCCGGCCACTTACGCTCTTCTTCAAGTCAGCCGCAGTTCCTTACCGTGTATACCGTATGGAAATGGAACCGACGAATGAGAAAGAAACCAGTACACAGTCGGGCTCGCGCCGCCATTACACCAGGCACAAAGTGATTTTGAGGGTTTCAGTCGTTTTTATTGTTCTTCTTCACTCCCAGTCCAAAATACCACAACTACTTCCATTTTCGGAAGCGAGAGCCTACACCTAATCAATCGTGAAATTCAATCCAATTAAATTTGCAATGGTAGAGACAGCATTATACCTCGAATACACCCATGTTTCTTAAAAAGGTTCGACTCAATGCTCGACCCACTGCAGTAAGGCAGTCGCTCGTTACTTACCTTCTCCTACGTACCAGTGTACAAATGCTCGTTTGGAGTACATCAGATCGAATTTGTGGTCAAGACGTGCCCAAGCTTCTGCGATCGCGGAAGTGTTACTGAAAGTGAAACTATCACAACAAATCCCACAACATCTTTGTAGAGGTTCTTAATATTACGAATGATTTGATAAAGTTATTTTTAGTAACGCTGTGCGGCTAAGATTGATTTATCTTATGGCCGATGTCATAGTTTGCGAATCGAGCGATTCGCTAGCGAATCGCTGGATCCGAGCGTTGCGCCAGCGAGTCGAACTATGTACCAGCGACTCAATAGTGGCGGGACCCAACGTTCAAAGGAAGCCCGCCACTTTCAAACAGTGTCACGTGACAGTGGACACTGTTTGAAAGTGGCGGGCTTCCTTTGAACGTTGGGTCCCGCCACTATTGAGTCGCTGGTACATAGTTCGACTCGCTGGTGCAAAGTTCGATTCGCTGGCGCAACGCTCGGATCCAGCGATTCGCTAGCGAATCGCTCGATTCGCAAACTATGACATCGGCCTTATACGGATCTCTTCAGCTCTGTTACAACCGACATTGAAGAAATGATAATAAGTTTTTTAGAAAAAAAATTGTTATTCAAAATCTATCGTAGAAGTAAAATTTATCACTAGTGCAATAGCACAATTAATGGTAAAAAACGAATCGAATAAAACGACTTCATACCAGTTCTTCAAGGCAACGTTTTGACAACAAAATGTCTTTGAAGGCAGCGATTGCGATAGGCTCTAGAAGGGATTAGAGAGGACGTGGGTATGCGCAACAGTCCACCGTTGGCTGGGAAGCAGGGAAATGTGCCAACACAAAGCAAAACGAGGCCTTGTTTGACTGTCAATTTCTGCTCAAAGGCGAGCAGCGGCTACGACAGCATATGCATGGACGAGTTTACCATCGCGCTTGGAGACACATGCCACTCTCTAGTCGAATTGCTCCAGTTCCACTGCTGCTTTCAAAAGGGCTTGTCCAAATCATAAACTAAACTAGTGAGGGGGAGGAGACGTTGAAGGGCGTGGTGATTTCAAGTACTGCACAACAGCCAGCGCACCTTCCGTCCTGAAAGCTCTAGATCTCGCTTTACTGGCAGCCGAACTACTGCTCCGTGTGACACACCTAGTTCCCCCAATGCGATCCCCTTCCATCATGAAAACTTCCCTCAGAAACCTGATTATAGGACGTAACACCGAGTGCCGCGCTTGGTGTACTTTCCATAATCAAGCTTTCTTCAGCACATCAAAGAATCGTTCCCAGGTCTTTTGATATCTCCGAACGTTTGGCTATCTATGAAATTTTGACGGACAGAAAAATGCATATAATTCAATGAAAATTTGGGCAATTACCTTATCATGCACACTGATCGGTTCTGCTTTCCCAAATCACCGCCAGGCACAACCGTCGGTGGTTGGTAGTTGATTCCTACTTTAAAACCGGTAGGACTCCTGTAAACAAGAATTAGTCAGTTTGTTCTCGTATAATGTTACCAGTTTTGCTCCGCCCGCTATCGCGCGCATCACACGGCAGGCTTTAGCGAAACTGGAGGACCCATGGAATATCAGCATGAGGTACTCCATTAACCACCTCACTATTGAATGTGTTAGACCTTTCCCAGTTTCGCTGAAGTCCATCGAGAATACGCGTGATAACGTCTGGAGCTGAACTGGTGTACATATCGACATATACAGTACCGTGCAGTGAAGTATTCGTTTTCACTTTTTTAAACGTAATTTCCTCAAAACTCAAGCTTTCGCAGTAAAACTTCGACAGCAGTTGACACACACAGGTAGTCATATTATAGCAGCGTATCGGTGCGATAGCCTCCTTTCAAGGGGAAATGGAGCTTCATTTTCGAGTATTGTCCGCGGGCACCCAATTTCATTGTTGATAAACGATGAGTTTCCATGTTGAGAGCACGTGTGTTTTTGATGTTTTGTGTCAGTTTCATATGCCTACACAGTACTCAGAACATTCCAAGACATTAGGGAATTCATAGCTTGTGGCAGGACCAGGTGACGCCATCTTTCGGAGGTTCTACGAAGGCTTAACATCCCAGCAGATTTTTGAAGTTCAAGGAGCCCCAGTGGACGACTTGGAAGAAATTCAAGAGCATTGAACCTGCCAAAGTCAAAAAGCGCCCAGAAGTAGCAAAATGACCTCTTCTCTCGCCAATAGAATCATTGTGCGACTTGTAAGGAGTGGCTCGCATCACGCTGCACCCGAAATTCACCGCGGATTCTCAACGCCAGACGGTCTAAATCCGTCCGAAGACAACGTGCGACGTTGTCTGAGAGATGCTGGGCACTTCTGACGTAGCTCAGTAAGAAACCGCTGATTCCCCCTCAAGAGTGGCAGAGCGCATCTCAATTAGGCTCATGCCCACAAGAAACGGACTATTAAGGAGTGACAAAAAGCCATCTAGAGCAACGAATCGAAGTTTTTGCTGTTTAGCACGAAAGAAGTCAAGTTTTTGCGACTTCCCGTTGGTACCAGATATCATCCGAGGTTCCATGTGCTGACGTGACGAATGCAGGGGGTGCGGTGATACTGCATGGCAGCTTCTGTGGCATAGGGGTTGATCACCTTCATCGGACCGAGGCTGAAATGGATTCCAAAACGCGCCTCAACATATGGATGACTGCTATCTGGCCGCATGCTCGCAGTGTCGCCCGTAGTGTTTCATTTTCCGACCCCAAGCGCAAAATCAAAGCCGCTCTCGCAATGGTTCCGCAACAACAATGTTCCTCCACTGCCATGCCATCGCAGTCCCCATACTTGAATCAGAGCAACCGCGAACAAGAAAAAAACCCACATTCGTGCTCGACGTGCAAACCTTACTTAGATAACAACGGTTCTGCGACAAAGTGCTGATGTTTAGTTGTAGTCTGTCTATTATTATATAAGTCATTTTGTTATTATTTTTGAATTTTAGATAGATTGAATTTCGAACAAGTAATATGGTATTGGACCGAAAAAAATTAAAAAATTTCTAAATTAGTATAGAAGCCACCTAGACAACTGAAGATTTGCTTCCTTATCAGGTAGAGTGATGTGTTCTCACCTACAAAAAATCGGAACAAAAGCTTGAGTTTTGAGGGAGTTACGTTTAAAAAAGTGAAAACGAATACTTCACTGCACGGTACTGTAGCTGGGTGGTTCTCTTTCTTGAATTCGCTTCTGCCTTTCA